ACACATCATGTATAAACTTTCTTTCTTTCTTTGTTTCAACACCAATTGTTCCTTTGCCCATTACTTCAACAGTTTCTCCATTTCCCAACTTTACTTTTGARCTAAATAATGTGTCCATGTTAAGAAAAATATTTAGGTGCCCTGTTATATATGATTACTACACCCGCTATCTAAGAACCATACATCATTATTTTCCTCRGTAGCACTTTGACATGCATAAAACTAAGGGTAAATTTCTTAAACTACCCTTATGATTTAGTTAATTGACTAAGTGTACTCTTATTGTTTGAAAATTAACTAATACTTCCCTTACCGTTAGCGCCMGTTAAGGGAAAGATGAAAAATAAAACTATTTTATCCTTTATTCTTTTTTCAAGTTTTCAAAATAAAACAGGGAAAGAATAATGTCGCTTAGAGACTTCAGAGACTTGGGCAGGAAGGGTTTCTACAGCTAAACACTAGAAGTGTTTTAAGCTTACGAATACTGTTGCTGCTACAATTGGTTTCTGACGGTGAGAGGAAAGGATCTGCCAGTGGTGGTCTAACCCATATTTACACAGATACATAAATCTGCTAAATAATGTAGTTCAGAAATGAAACCGACGGAGGGAGAAGAACCAGACATTCAGACTAGAACCTGATAGATAGGATAGGATGATGATGGAGAACTCAGCCACCGCTATGGCTCCTTTTCTTCTTCGGAATTTCGTAACCTTTATATTCATATTTGCTGACAAATCCTTCTCAATTTATCAAAAGGATATAAGCTTCTCTAATTCATTCGCTACCTTCTTATCCAACTTCTCTTATTTTTTCTTCATTTCCTACCTTTTATCTTCCCTTCTTTAATTACCAAATCGACGACTGACTTTCCTCTCAAACCCCACCACGTTAAGCAGGAAATCCTGACCCAGGGAGACTTCGGTATCGCTTGAGCACTCTCTCAGATTTTCTCCATCGTCAACGATATCCCAGTCAGCTCCTGCAAATATGAAATGGTTCGAAACTTAGCTGAAAATCTCATCGACGGAGAATCTCCGGGAAGGATGCGAATCACTGAGAAAGGTCAACCAATCGATTCTATCGGTGGCGTTCGTCAAGACTCTTTGCCAACTTGAAGGGGCGATGTCAGAGCAAGAGCAAGAGCAGACCGCTAAAAATGGATTTAACCTAATCTGTGACTGTCGAATCTTCAAATCTGAACAAAAAAACTCCAAAAATGTGGAGTTTGATTGGAATCTAATGAAAATCCCCCTATGCAAAATCCTTGTTTGCATTTAGAAAAAAATTGGATGACTCCGATTGGAATCTTCTTCAAACTTTACTGGTCGCGGCCTTTTCCTCTTTGGTGCTATAGATGCTCATTAAACCAAGACTGCCATCGTCAGCCCTAGAAGGAGATTTCTAAAGGATCAAAAGAAAGAGTTGGGAAAAAGAATCCAAACTTCCAAGACTACCAACTCAAAATACTCACCAACARCTGGTAATGAAGTTGACGGAGTGCTAGAATTCTGAGGCAACGTCGACAACTGAGGTCCCGCAGCCYTTTGAACTGAATACTTTCCATGTTTTATGTGAATTTGAGAGCCTGCTTTCTTTTTCTATCTTTGGAGAATGGGGATTTACCAAGTGATGTCGGTGTTATCCCTAGTTGTTCGATTAACATGTTGCTTTTCTCTTTCCCTTTCTTTTTCCTCTCTTCCTTCACGAGCCCCCATCGTCTTTCACAGCACTGACGCACAACATGAATCTCTAGCAACTGGCTGAGATGGATTGAGTTCAAGAACAATACTAGAGAAAACTAAACAAGAAGAAACCATTATCAGAAAGGCTCTAATTGCATACAAATTGTACATTAAATACATTGATTGTTTCAGCTTTTTATGCCAAGGGTGTAGAACTAATATGCTACAGGGATCCAAATTACRGTGAGCAAGGTCATGAGTGGAGTTGGGTTTTGGACGAGGCAGTCGTCCTGGAACACGGCTTACTTTTTGCGGCTAAACACTAGAAGTTCTAAGCTTAGGAATACCTCTGCCGCTACAACATGGTTTCTTATGGGAAGAGGAAAGGGGATGCCGATGGCGATCTAACCAGACCGACGGATAGGACAGAGAGAGAGAGAGAGAGGGAGGGAGGGAGAGGAGTAAAGCCAATAGGAAAAAAAAGATGGGGAGAGAGAGAAAGAGGGGGAGGGAGGTGGAGTGTAAATTTGGGTTTTAATATATATA